ATGATCTCATTAACAAGAAGAGGTGCTGAGGGTGAGATTACCTCCTCAAGATCTCGATCGAATCCACAAGAAAGACGTGATTCTTTGGCTCCGCGTGTGCGTGCCCGTGTGCTTTGCTATTGCCGTGTCGTGCTTGTTCTTCCAAATATAGCTAACTTCTATATAGTATGTAAAGACTAATATATCTATGCTGATATGTAGGATAAAAGAGTGGGGAAATTATGGTCCAAACACCCTTATTTGCTATTGCCGTGCCATGCTTGTTCTTCCAAATATAGCTAACTTCTATATAGTATGGAAAGACTAATATATCTATGCTGATATGTAGGATAAAAGAGTGGGGAAATTTCGGTCCAAACACCCTTATATATACTAAACCGAAGGAAGCAACTAATTTGGGTGATGATGGTGCATAGACGTGGCCCTATTATTTACTTGACAATTGCTACATGTTTAATGCCACGTTTTATGTCTAAAATAAGAAGGAATTAATCTTGCTCCCAACTTTGAAGGATGCTTCGGCATTAGGGAAATTAAGATGGAAAAATGGTACGGCTTTGCTCCATTAACATGTGATTTATGTTAATTAATCACTAACTTATTTTTAATTATTTAATTAAACATAATGCTTAATTACCAAAATTATTCCGAACATAAATGGTACGTCGAAAATAATTTTCGGTAATCTCGACTGAAAATAATTAATTCCGAAAATAATAATCGATAACATTATTATATCGAAACTAAAACATAATTTATACTGATAAAATAACGGGATATTACAATACAAGTGTTAGGGAATTGGAAATTAATTGTTTTCAATTCTAATGATAAGTCCAAATTATTTATTGATCGGTTAATTGATTCGATAAACATACTAATTTAGAGGTTTATATTCAATAACTTTTCGTAACAAGAATATAAACATAAATTAATATATTTTCGTATCAAATAACAAATAAGCAATACAGTTACGAACATGCTTACTCGTTTCGAGCCGAGATCAATTAACTTTTCCCCTCTCGGTTTTGAAATTAATTAATTAGATTTAGAAGGTGTTTAATCAACCAAATCGTAGAAATAAGTATAACTCAAAACGATATGAACAATAAATAACATAACATCATCATCGAACCGAAACAATCATTTCCCTATCCCTAACGGAATAGGTTTAGTTCATCATGATTTTTTCGACACAAACAACAATAATAATCCAAGCTATCATCGTACTTATAATAAAGTAAAGATAACTTACGGTTACTATTGAAAACTTGATGTCAATATATCACTAGAACTTCAACAAGATATAGAAATATCACTTACAAAATCATGTAAGTCATATATAAGAAAAACTTTTCATAAATGAAGAACTTTAAAGAGAAAAGAAAAGAATTTTTACAAGATTTCTAACTATTATTCACTTATGAACTTGATAATTTTACATGCATGGATCACCTCTATTTATAGCTAAGAATTTGGAGTAAAGTATAGCTAGAAATCAGCTATAGGTAAGATTTAATGATCACCAAAATAACACTCCATCATCTTGCATTATGGAAGAAAAGACAGCTGCAGAAATCTGCCTAGTAGCGCCGCTTCTAGGTAGTAGCGCCGCTTC